GATAGTAATATAAAGTTTATTGTAAAAAAATAAAAATAATTATTTTATTATAATTCCTAAATTTTTGAAGGAGATATGTAAATCTTAGTATTTTTGTAATACCAAATAATCCTAAACTATGAATCTTGTGTCAAAAATAATATGTTTAAGTATAAAAATGTTGATAGTAATACCTAAACTGTATACATTGAACCGTGGACAAAGGTAAATATATAGTTTATGAAGTATACTTTAGATTTCCATTATTTTATCAAAATGAATGCATAAAATAACAAATTAAATCTCTTGTATGCGTAAATGTAAAATAAATAAATTATGTGTTCTAATGTAATTTATAAATAATAGGATAAAAAATTAGTGTTTTTTATTTTTTTCTTCATATCCTCTTGTTATATTCATAATTACTAGTATAATAATTCGCATATTAATATTTTATCATTTTAATAATTAATAATCATAAAAATAAAAAAAATTATGTATTTATTATAATTGATTCCTACCATCATGTGAATTTTTTAAATATTAAAAATATTTACTCTGAATATTTTCTAATATTGAAAAAAATAATTCATTTCTATTGATAATTAGATTAGTTCTATCTATATATATTTGCATACTTAAAAGTTATGTATAACTATATTAAATATGCAAAAGTGTCAACATATTACCTATAAAATATATGGAATAATATAAATCATGATGTATTGTAATTATATAAAAAAATTATATGTAACAATTTATTGTTATTATTAATCTTTTAAATTGAATATTATATATATAACAAAATAACTCCATTGTATTATAGAGATTATTTATATAAAAATATTTTATGTAAAATTGAATAAATATCATAAATTTATAAATAATGTATTTTTATTAAATAAGAAATCGATAAATTAAAATTATCTATTTATTTTGATGAATAAATGTATGCACGGTATAATATATGCACACTCCTTAATATAAATTTTGTAATACATATGTTAATTCCACGAAAGGAAATACTATTGCTATGATACAAAAATTGGATTTATTTTAAAAGATTCTAATATAAAATAACACATCTTTTGTTAAAAATATATTTTTTGTTATATTTGAGTAATAAACATTAGCATAAATGATGATATAATTGCCTTAATGCTGTAAAAACAAAAATTAATTAATAAATTCTGTAAATAATATAATTGGTATAACTATATAAGCAGTTCACGATCATTAGAAGCTTTTATTAAGGTAAGATTTCCATTATAATTAACATAAATTAGAAGAAAATAATATTTATTCTTTAATATCATATTTATTTCTAAGGATTTAATTGCCTTGCATTATATAATTTTGTTAATATTTATAATTATTTATTTCATTTCAGGGAAATTGTCTTATATTTAGAGTAAGATATACAAGAATTTTAAATAATATGTAATAAATAAAAAATTACCAATAATTCTATAATAATATAAATAATGATGTTTTATATATATATTTATTTATTCGTCCATTTTGTATAAGAAAATAAGGAATATATTCAAAATCAATTATGAGAACTCTTAGCATGTGTACAATCCTTTAATATTATTGTAGGGGATAACTAACATATGGGGTAAGTTTTATATGTATATAAATAATACATAAGTAATGATTATTGTTTAATGTTATTGTGTAGAAATTTAAATAAATCACTCATATTATATATATAAAAAAAAAAAAAAAGCGAACCTATGATAGTGTCATACTTTAATACTTAAAAATACTTAATACAAACAATAATTTCAAGGAATTATAAAAATATGAGCGCTACAATTATTAATATTCATAAGTGTAATATTTGTTTTGGCACTTTTAGCGTATAATTATATATAAAAAATAACACAAAAAAAAATTCTCTTAGTTAATTAGGATGTGTTAAACACCATGGATGTGAATCATGTAAACAACAATATAAGTTTATATTTTTCATTATATTTATAAATAATGTTCTCTACATTTAAGACAACATATAATCTGAATATAAAGTACATAATTTATATATTATAGCATAAATATAAATTTATTTTAATATTATGAAATTTCCTCTTTAGTATTATTTCAAGGATATTTTTCCATTATACAAGGATGATTATAGTGAAGCCACAAATGTTAAATTAAATGAAAAATGTAAGCCTTACTTAACACTGTGCACTGAAATAAGTAATAAATTAAGGATCTCTGATAATATATTTATTGTTTGTTGCCAACATCTTAGCCTTTATTTAAAATACGCAAAAAAATAAAAACTATATATTATAGAAGCATCATGTAAATATTTCATCTATAAACTGAATGATAGACTAAAATTTATAAGGCCTTCCTGCTTTAAGGAAAAAAAGTGTTACGATTTAATGAAAAATTTCAAACTTCCTGAACATGGAAAAGTATTTAATATATGCAATTGTCATGTTTTGGATCTTGATGAAGACACCATTGATATAATGAATAAATTAAATAATTTATACGATAATTTTAAATCATTAAAGGCTGATCAATATACATGCGAACCTGCTCCCCAGTGTTATGAAAATTATATGGAATTTTTGCCAATAATATAAAAGTTAATAATAAATGTTTTTATAATGTACTGGATAAATTCAAAGTTTAACATAAAGAGTACGTAAGGACAAGTAATATATGTTTAAATTCTCCAAAAATCTAAGATACTTATAATGCCAGATATACGCAGAAGTTTTTTCCATATTCATCTAGATTAATGTTTTCTATATTAACAATTATGCTTATATTATATAAGTTTAATAATATATATTAGATTTAGACAAACTGTATGATATTAGAATTAATAACACATGCAGTTATGTATTTGAAATATCATATAAATGCAACATTCATGAAAAAATATATTTATTTCTTTATTTTTCATTATACTCATTATGGATCATATATACAACAAACTGTAAGGAAGCCAAATAATATTTGGAAAAAAAAGAAATGAATTACTTAAATGATCCATTTGAAAGATAATACAAAAATTCAACTGATAAAAATTATTCAATATTATATAACACTGTATAATACTAAAAAAAATTTCTCTTAATGAATACTTATTACATTTTTTAAAATATTATATTATAATTGAGTGATATTATATTTGAAGGTAAATAAAAAATTACACAAACACAAACACAAACCTTCTAAATCAATGATAAAATATTAATATGATATATATAATTGATATAATACACAATAGTAAATTATATAACAATAATGAACACAATGAAAATAAATCAGCTACAATTATAAATTTTATGCTTTTTATTATATAATGAAAAAAAAATTATTCAAAATAATTTGACATTATATTTAATAATCATAATTTCATTGAATGATGTAACATATACTAATATTTTTTATAAAATAACATTTTCAAAATGGAATAAGTGCCTATTATATCTAATTAAAAAAACATATATTTAATAAAATATAATATAGGATAATAAAACAATTGTACGGTATAAGCACATTATCTAAAAAAAAAATTATTCTAAATTGAATTATATAAAGTAATATGCGAATGTATAGAAGTGTATTATATAGTAATACTTATATGATTTTTATTTATTTGCAATAAATATATAGTAGAACTATATATTTATTTATTACTAGCTTTCAAAAAAATCTTATTTCCATAATATAAAAAAAATTTATGAAATTTTTGCTTAGAATATATAAATACGTGAGATCAAATCAATACTAAAGGAAATTTATTAAAAAGCAATTATATAAAAAATTTAATAAAACTTACAAAATATTTTATATATTAATTTCTTAATGATATGTTATTATGTGTCGATAATAAAAAAAATCATGTGATATATCTATATCTTCATTCCGTTAATTAAATTACATTTAATAACTCACAAATAATAAATTAAGCGCAATTAATCATATATCATTAATATGTTTTCAATCTATACTACAAAATTAATATATAGGGTCATAAGGTATACTAATTTCACTGTGTTCCCAATTTAAATGCATTCATATTCCCTATCTATAAAATAAAAATAAATATTATTAAAATTTTATTTATCACATATAAAATTAACCGTGTAGTTATTAAAATCAAAACATTTGTAAATATATATATATTCATAAAAAAAATTTACACAACTAAAATATTAAAATAAAACTCTGATACCTAAACCCTGAATACAGAACGATGAACCTAAACTTGAACACGAAACCCTGAACCCTAACACAAATAATAAAAAATAAATAATTCAAATAATTAAATATTAATAAAATTCGTCTTTATGTTTTTAGAAGGGTTTCTTTTAGTATAAAATAATTAGAGTGTAATATAGATAATTATGAATAAGTGAATTTTATAATAGTAAATGTATTATTAAAAGAGATGAGGATATAATTTAAAAGTAAAAATGAGTACTATACATTTATATACAAGAAAAACAATTATAATACTATTACAAATATTTAAAAAAAAAATTTCTAATGCCAATATAATTATAGTATAGAAAAAAATTATATTAGAATTAAGGAATCATTACTTATGACACATTTTTCTTCGTAAAAATTAATTCTAATTAATTATTTTATATAATAAAATATAAATAAAACTTATACCATATATAACTATATGAAATAGTTAAGTAATATTATGTAAGTATATTTATATGAGTAAACATTTGTTCAGAATATATTTTTTTATATATTTCACCGCATTTATGATAAAGATTTTTTCTTAATTTTTATGTGATCATGATTGAATGTTATGGGTATATTCAAATTTGTTTTATATTTGTCATGAAATTATCAATTATATTCCTTTAAAATACAGAATATAAACATTTTTTTAAATAAAAAATTATTGTTTAGACCTTCATATTATACATGTATCTCTTTATTTTATGCATTTTAGTATATCTATATGCATAAGAATAAATAGATATCTTCTTCCCGTTTGATGCATATTTTTGCCTTTTAAATATTTAATCAAATTGACTAAGATAAGCACTATATTCTACATTATATCTCCTGTTATCTATACTAGATAAGAACGCTTCATCTCTATTTTTACTTAAATATTTTTTTAAAAATTCGATCATTTTTATTTTAACTCGCATGCGTGTACCCAGAGGAATTATCTATTAAAATAATGCAATTATAATAAATATATTAAACTTGTTTATTCAAAAGTAATTAGTTTTATATTGAGATTAATTATAATACTTGTTGTATTATTCATATTTATTTATAATATCTTTATATTACTTTGTATAATAGAAAATTCATCATAACAATCGACATAATACTAAAACCTACGATTAAAAATGTTTTAGCTGAAAATGTGTTCATTGTAGATAATAATTCTAAAAAATATATGTATTTCACAAGAGAATTCATGTGTATTACTCCAACCTGGTGATGATTCCGATACAAATAAGGTGCCATCCTTATTATGACGTATCACTTTTTCATCGAAAACTCCTGATATAACACTTTTTTGAGTCATTAAACCTGTAAAATTCATAGAAATCCGTAATATAAATCATTATTATATGTATTTTTATTCATATAAAAATTAATGTAAATTAATATTATATTTTTATTACAGTTCTGTGATTCCTGAAGTAGGTTGCTCCATGTTTTTTGTACATTTTCTTCTGTAATGCTTCTTGTTTCACGAGCAAGATAATTCCTATCTTGTAATTGATTTATTAGACAATTTATATGAGTAATATACGTATCTTTTATTCTTTTGCATTCACAACTATCACAATAACCTTTCATTTTCCAAATATTTTCAAGGAAATAATTTATTATATCATCCTTTAAATCATTTCTTATGTTTGATACATAAATAGCTTTAGTAATAAAATCTAAGTAATAATTCATAGCATTACAGACACTTTGTTTCATATTATCATTTTTATATGTCTTTTTTAATTCATTATACACAAGCATGACATTTGTATTGAATTTATCTATATAATTTTCAACAACATTGTGCTCTGAGTAAGTAGCCTTAAGTATATTAATTATGTCACTTATGTCTACTTTATTAAGCAGTTTCTCTATATGATCCTTTGGAGGTAAATTATCACTATGTGAAAGCATACTATTAAGTGTGATATATATATTAGAACGTGTATATATATAAAATTTTGATTGCAGGAATGATAATAAAAATTATAAAATTATACAATAAATTATTAATTAAAGCCTATACCATCTTCCGTATATAATGAATTAGTCATACTTATTAAATATTACAAGATAATCATACTATATAAGTGAACTTCTATGTGGCAGTTATACAAATTACGTATACTACTAAAATAAGTTCACTATATATGCTAATATAAATAAAAATAAAATTAATGATATATTATTACTCCTATAGAAATGTAATCTTCATGATATTATATTTATATAACTGAGAAACAAATTAATTATGGATTAATGAAATCCACACTATGAAACGTAATATGTAGATAAAAAATATTGTATACATTTTGTAAAATAATTTTCTATAGAGAACTCAAAATAATATATATAATACGCTAACATTTGTAAATATATGTATATAAATAATTTTAATATATATATTATAAATAAATAATATTTTCAGTTTTATACAAATTTGGAACTCTAAAACCTTTTCCTCTAGTGTAATTATCAAAAAGATTTAATGTGATATATATAATACATGATTAACTTAAGTCTCCATTAACTATTAAAATTAATTTTTTTTTAATGTATGCAAAAATATTAGTATACGCTGATTTTGCAGTTATGTTGGAAATAAATAATGAAGAAAATATATGTTCTACAAGAAAAATATTTTGAAATTTAATTTAGACTGTATGGATAAATATTCAGTATTTAGTACTTACTAATTTATGATTCTACAATATATTCATTTGTATATCCATATTCAAGTTTTTATTTTATTTATTCTAACTTTATGAACAATTTATAGGTTTCTGTTTATAGTTATTAACGTTTTGATTACAGAGTTTATTTATTCTACTTATGAATTAGAATTATTTATAATTTTTTAGATTTTTTATTTTCTGTTTTATTAAATTTATATTCACATATATATAAAGATAAATTATCACTACTATTATTCCTAAATATTAAAGCTTTATAAGTTCTTCACGTAATACGCAAGTATAATACTGAATTATATATCTATAATTAACTTTTTATAGAAATATATATTTGTCCTTTTATATATATCCCATACATATAATATATCCAATTTTTTTTCATTTTTGTAAATATTTATGTAAGAAAATTTTTTTTAGTGTAAAATCTACGTATATGAAAATGTAAAAATAATGATTTATTATTCATTATTTGATACATTAATATCATATTTATTACTTTATATTTACTTTTCCTAATCTATATTATTTCTTAATTATATTTTTATAAAATATATCATTCATTATATATTTTAGATTATCATTTATACACTTACTTTTAAGGCACGTGAATTAATTTATAATAAATATTGTCCACAACTATTTATCTATTTTAATTATTATTATAATTATGTTCTCTTAAATTTTAGGTTATCAATATTTTGTCATGAATTCACTTTAATGTGAAAAATAATGTAAAGGCTAATACATATATTACATTTTATAAATAAATTTCAGTTCTTATTTAATAAATGCTATACGCCTTAATGAATAATTAGGATGCATATTATTACGTAAAATTTATACTATCCTATTAAAAAATTTATTATTTTTTTTTCAATAAATTTCACACAGATATAAAGGATTTAGTTGTAGGGTTTAGATTTAGGATTAGGGTTATGTTTTATGCTTAGGGTTTATTTTTAAGATTTAGGGATTTATGCTTTATATTTAGATTTTAGGTTTATGATTTAGGGTGGTATGTTATTGGTTTATTGTTTAGTGTTCAGGGTTTAATGGTAAGGGTTCATCGCAAATGTTCCGTTTTGAGTGTTTATGTTTTTTGTTCACGTTTTAGGTTTTTTTTATTATTGTTTAGAATTTATAATTTTTGTATTTTATTTTAGTTTTATTTTTTAGAGGGAATCTTATTATACTAGAAGATCTTTATTTTTCAAGATGTTTTATTTTTTTTTTTTATGATATGTATGTGTGCGACCTTTTTTTTTATCTACGGTGATTTTAGTTAGTACATGTATGAATGAGTTCATCATTGCATATTATAATATGTATAAAAGATATTTACTTGTTATTAATACTTTTATTTTGTTTTATATGCTACCCAAAGCTATTTCTGATGAATATTTCTTTTATATGTGCATTTATGATGTTATATTTTCACGACAATTACAAAATCACTTTGACTGTTCGTCAATGTTTGCTACTTCTATATCTGTAAGTTTATTGTTTATTGTAACACTTTTAATTTTATTATAATTAATGTAGCTACTATAAGAGTTTCCATATATTTATAGGTTTTTTTTAATTTATTATTCTGAAAAAAACTTATTTCATCTTATGAACTACATGAATTATAAAATATAAAAAAAAAAAATTATATTTGTATATGTTTATTAGTTTACCTGTTTTAAATCGAAATTATTATATAGAGGCATAAATAATAATAGGCTCAGAGATAATTCTATCGAAGTGTTTGAATACGAAAATTATTCATGATCTATGAAAAAATATCCTCACCGGGGACGTAGAAGTAATAATATATATATTACGATACTGTGAGGAATTATTCTTTTATATATTAATGTTATGTTATTACATAAAATATTTTATATAATAAAAATAAATATTATTTTTAAAATATTATCCTTAATTGTATATTCATAATATTTTCGAAATATAATATTATTGTTGATATTAATTTTATCATAAAATGCCATATAGATAATATTAATGTATGCATAATAAAACGAGTCTAAAGAAATAAATTTATTACACAATATATAAGCCAATAAACAAGAATTGATGATATTTCTTTTATGGTTCAGGGTTTATGTTTAAAGGTTTAGCAGTATCGATTTTTTATATAAATTATTTATATATTTATAAATATGATTATTCCAACGATTTTACTGTTAATTTTGGGAAGTGATAAATTTTAATTTGAAAAAATATTCATCATTATTATATATATACGGAGGTAGAATGCATGATAACTGCAGGAACAACGAAATTATTACGCAATATCACGATCTAAGAGAACTATTGCAAAATGGATCGAAAAAACATACATCCTATACGATGAACCATATCAAATTTAGTACATATGACAATTCACAAGTAAATCTAATGAACAGAAAGAAGAATAGATATATTTTTAAGGTAAAATATATATTTTTTGGAATAATTTAACCTTATTAATTATTTCAATTAACTTTTCATAAGTAAATCTGTTAATATTTATGAATTTATATAGAATGTACATATATTAAGAATTCCTATGAATTATACTTAACAAATATACAATAGTTATATTTTGTTAGGTAATAATTTGTTTCTATTCTGTTACATTTCTTATTCCAAAAATATGTAGCATAGATTTTGGAATATACTCAACATTATATATTATGTATAATATTAATATTTTTTCTAATAAAATAATGTTAAAAAGTAAAATGTGTGATATAATTTTGCTTACAAATTTTTATTATAAAGATGTAAAGAATATGATACATTTATTTTACGGAGGCTATATAAGAGGAAGTAAACCATGAAGTTTTTTACTATTATATGTATTTTTAATAAATGTTATAATAGCAATTTCATCAATAAATTATTTTAAAGATTTAATATATATAAATTTTAATTATTACCGTATATATGCATACACTAAACTTAGTAATGTATACTGTCTATAATATATAACATATGTCAATAATAATTAATATGAATTATAAACATCTGGACCTTATATTTTTACATTTATAAGAAGAAACATTATAAGATAAAATGAACAATAAGATCTATAGTAAAATGAGAAAATTATATATATTTCAAACCAAATTTTCAATATAGTACTACAGAATATTGAGAACTTTTATATGATTACATTTCATATTTTTATGATTCTTATGATATAATAAAAATAAATAATAAATGAAGCTTAAATTAACAATTAGAATCATATTCTATTATATTTTAATCCTTTTTAAACAGTTCAGAAAACACATATGTCTATGTTTTTATATAATTAATGGTAAATATTCTATCAATATCTCTAAGTATTTCCTCCAAAAATGTCTAATATAAAAAATATGAAGAAATTATATTTTATAATTGAATATAAAAGAATTTCTTCTTTTAAAATAAAAAAAAACTTTATACAATTAATAGTAATAACTAAAAAATATATTCTCAATATTATGAAGATAATATATTTAAAAAATATAATTATACAACCTTATATAATATAAATATAAAATAAATAAAATATTAAATCATTATTATCCTTTATGCAGAAAATATAATAACTATATATTTTTTAAGAATAATATAAACAGAAAATAAGAATTATTCTACATATTATTAAAAATTATAAAATTATGTTATGAAATCATTCAATATTTATTATATATTTCTTTTATTATAATTATAATATATTATGAAATAATATATATTTATGTTATAATATATTATGTATTAAATTATTGTATATGCTTATAAGACGTTAGATAAATTTATTATAACATAAATAGAATATTGTATAACTAAATTATACATATACAAAGGATATATGTTTTTTTTATATTATACATAATATAAGATGTTAATAGTGTCCCTTTAATGAATAAAAACAAAAAGGTTATTTTTTACCTAAGATTTATATTTAAACATATATACTAATAAAATATGATAGCGTCCATACGTTTACATAATAATAAAAATGAGAAAACTATAAACATGAATCTATGCATATGAAGGAATCAAATGTTTTTTATATAAAATATGTTAAATAATTTTCCTTTTAATTTATTAATTATAATAATATCATATATATGTTCTCATTCCTAGGTATATATAAATGTCTTTTCAATAATTTATAATTATAAGTTTTATTAATTAGGATATTATAGTTAAGTAAACAATATATTCTAACTATACTTTAGCGTTCCTGTAATATCAAGAGCATCTGCGAATTATATTTCAAAAAAAAATTCCTAAGAAATTATTTATTTTATCCTCTTTTGGATTATCTTTTGCCTCAGATATAGTAATATAAACAAAATAATAAAAATCAATATTCATATTTGATTATACTGAATTGTAGCATATATGCATCTTGTAAAATTCAGAATAATGAAAATTAAAATATATATAATTTATTTACTAATACATATATATCATAATGTTTGTTATTTATTTTTTAAAAAGTAATTTCATATAGACAAATAAATAAATAATTTAATATCTCTGAAATGGTTATATTTAAAAACGTTTCACTACATCATCAAATACTTTGTCCTAATGCATATAACTAAAATGCTTGTGATATTTTTTAATAAAATCATAGTTCTATTATTTTATATATTGCTTCTAATCTATTTTATTATTAAAGATAATAGGAAATATTGTCTTGTATACACAAAATTCTAATATATTTACTTTATTTTAACATTTGTGCACTAATTATATGTAATACATTTATCATATATGCATCTTTACTTATCATTTACAAATTATAATTATATTAATTAAAGCATAATTCATTGTTATATTAGATTTATTGATGTTTTATTGAATTCTAATTTTAATTGCACTCATCTTTTTGAAGGCAAATTTCTAGGCGCTATAAGCTATACACTAATGTGTTGTATTATAAAACATTATCTGATGAAGAAATATATATTGTGTTTTTTGTTGCAATTTTTGAATTTAACTAAAATACAATTTTTACAATATATGCAACAATGCCTTTTTTTACATTATATATTTCTTAATACTATTTTTTTAACACAAATTATGTAATAAAATTTTATACATATATTTACGTCATATTGTTATACTATCCAGCATATAACAAGGCATTAATAAGTGAAAGTATCAATTGAGTAACTTTTTATATGCTGTACTAATTAGTAGCTCTTAGATTTGTGTAATATTATAATACTCTTCTTGAAAACAACTATATTAAAAATTAATTATGTTCTTAATTTTATCAGTGAATCCTTATACATATTATACATCTTCGTGCCCCCGTTGTTAATTGTTCTTAATCTATTATGATTTTGTTGCACTTTTATGAATTTTAACTCCAATATAAGCATACAACTAATTTAATGACACCTATAAAATGCTAATTATTTCATTATTATAAGAAATATGAATTATAAGGTTTCATATGTAATTTTAATGTGTGATCTTTTATAAATTTGTACGGAAAGTTATTTTAACCAATTTAAATGTTTTCAATATATTTCTTTTAAAACAATACAAACATTTAATAATATAATACAAAATCATATTAATAAATAGAAAAAATGTACATTAACTTTAAGAGTTCTTTTATATTTTTATCCTATATATGCTCAATGATCCTAATAGAAAATATACAGTAAAAGAATGTATAATGTCTTTTAACTTTATAATGTTCCATGTTATTAAATATGGTGTATATTTGTTCTTCTTAATATATACTATGTATAGAATAATACAATTAACTATGAATTTTATATTTATTATTGTTTATTTTATATTTATTTATGATTAAATAATTCTTAATTCCTTCTCTAAGAAATTATTACATGTATAAAAATCTAAGCATAATTCATTAATCTACAATGTTAGGTGCTATACAAAAATATAGGAAGAAATTCGAAATTATCTCACACGATAAATATAAAAGTATATAATAATAATGGCATAAATATGCCTTAAATTATACCAATAATTTTATATATAAGTGAAAAGGGGTAAAATTTATTAGTACAACACTATATTAATAAAGAATAATAAAAATATTAATGTATAAATTTAAGAAACGCTATATTATAGAATAAACCATGAACAGTAAAACAAATAAATTTAATATAATACAAATAAAAATGAAAATTTAATATTATATTAATATAGAATAGTATTACATATTACGTATTTACGAAAACATTATATATCGTAAAAAAAATGTTATGTATACGAAAACGTTAGTGTCAGAAATATATAGATGTCTCTATTTATACAAAGATATATGCATGAACAATATATACCTTTATAAAATTCTATTCATTGAGTAAAAATGATTAATTTATATTTTAAATATATTTTAATAACATTGTTTTTGTATAAGTGTGAGGAACTTCATAATCATTTGCACTATTTTTGTCGTATATCATAAATAATTGAAAAAATAAGATATTGAATATAAATGAGCATTATTAAACATGGTGTATTACATTTAAACACGGAATGGATATAATATAATATACGAATATATTAGAAAATTTTGTTTAATATTAAAGGATATTATGGGCATGGTTCTTAAATATTACTATTAATTTATGGAAAAATAACTATTTTTACCTTATATTTATTCAGAACAATATTTTGTTGTACTATTTCCTGTATATCATATTTCTACTATTTTTATTCTTTTTTAAAATTATTGTTTTTATTAAATTGTCACTTTAACATGTAGACATAATATTATAACAATCCTATTAATAATTTACAGAAGAATATTATCTAGCAAAATTTTGACATCGAGTATTTGTCATATTTATAATAATAATAATTAAATTTATAGATATGTGTATGAGGTTTTTACATGAATATTACACGATTATATAATGTTGAATATTCTTATAATTCTAGAGGATAACACATTGATGATATATATTTTTTATAAATTGCATATTATATATTTAGAAAATTATAAAAATATATCCATTATATATTACATATGTTGCTTTTACAATAATTGCACATTATTTCGGTATACATTTATATATTAAATACTTTTTCCCTGTACAGATTCATTATAAAATTGATCAGGATATAAAATACAGATTCATTATGTAATTCATATTTCTTTTCATTTGATATTATATATTAGTTTAGTGTTTTATCTAATTTGTTATTAAGTAATGAATTTTATCATTTGTATATATGTATTTATTTAATATATTCCATTTTTTATATTTTTATTTTTATGCATAACTCATATACTGTCTATTTAATAATGTTGTCTCATTGGAACAGTTTAATGAACTCATTTGGATGTTATACATGGAAGGCTATATATATTTGTTCATAATTTTTAAAAAACCATGGGTCGTTATCTTACAGTGTAATATTTATGTACAAGCTTCTCATATTCTGTAGAGTTAATATATAATATATTTTTTAATGAACTGTTTTCATCATTAATAGTACAAATAAAATAATAAGTTACACATTAATAATGTTAATTTATATCATTTTATATAATGTATTTCATAAATAAGGAAATATTAATTTATTAATATATTTTTATTTTATAAAGCATTCAATTATATAATAACAGAAACTATACTATACTTTATCAAGAACACCATTTTTATAGATTAATAACCGTAATAATATTTACTTTAAGGCAAAATTATCATTGAATATGTTATATATTTAACTAATTATAACTTAAACATATAGTAAATAAACTCATTAATATATATATAGATTTACTAATAAGAATTATATATTATTTATATCTCTATATTCTTTATAGTATTGAAAAGTGACAATTTTTTAATAATAAAAAATATATAAAATTGCAAAGAAAATTTATTATGGTAAAAATCAGTAATGATAATTAATATATATATTTCTCAATAGTGAATATATTTTTCTATCAGAAAAAAATTTTTTTATAAAAAAATATTATTTTTTACGTTATATAATATGGGCAGAATTTTTATGTTGATGTCTCTTTTTATTCACATAATAAAATGTACATTCCATGTGTTATTATAGTATTAACATAAAATGCTTTGTATGGCATAATTAGAATGAATAATTTTGATATATACAATACTCATAAATAAAACATTAGTCCAAAATTATAAGGAGTGGTTAATTCTTAAAAAATACTGACTTAAAATATATTATATATTTATTATATTATATAATAAAAATTTTCATGTATTTATTGTTTTCATTTATATTAAAACTGATAATAATTTAGAAATGAAAATAAATAAAAATTTGAAATATAGTATACGAATAATAATTGCTTAAATAACTTTTCATTTATGTTTACACGTCACCTTAATATATGTGTTTTGTTGAGAATGTCTAAATTTATAATAAATTAGTTTTTTCTACATAAGCATGTGCGTCACATATATGAACTGAATAAAAAAATATAAATACAATTCTTTTAGAAGGTTGTATATTATTGTAATATAAATGTATACTATTTATTACATTTTATTACATCCATTATAACATTTAATAAATAGTATTGATATCCATTTTACGGGAATGATAATAACGCACATTAATAATCTCATATCATTTATTACATAAGACAAATAAATTAACCACAAAATTATAATTTTATGATCTAATATTTTATATAGCTTTGATTATATCATACATATCACTATATAAAATGCAAATGGGAAATAATAATTATTAAATATATATTTATATTAATAGCATATAATAATATGATTTTATTTTTTGGTACTTATGTTATATATAAAATTATATAATTTTTATATTTTAGAAAAATATTTTACACAGTAAACCTATTTTTTTTTTTTATTATATTATAATTCTTTTGATTAATATTTATATTTTTTCCTTTTTATAATTAAAAAATATGTTATATGATACAATTATTATTATTATTTTTTTCTTATGTGTAAAATTTAATTGTCAAGGTATAGGTTCGTATTTTAAATCAATTCAATATTTAAAAAAAAACGAAGATATTTTTCTAGTTCAGACATTTCGTTATAATTTTAAAGAATACTATAGATATTTACATGTATTTCAATATTTTATCCAGATATTGCCTAAAAAAATATAATCATATAAAAGATGACTAATGATATTGTACAACTTTATATAATATAAATTACTTATTATCACATTTTTATATATAAATTTTTAATAAAAGTAATAAAAAAATTATAGTATATTACAATTTTTATTATAGAATTTTTTTTTTATTTTTTTTTAGTTTAAAATTGTAAATGAATTTTCCGATTTTGAAAAAATAATGAATAATTCCAAAACAAAAGGTAATAGTCCCAATGACGAAAATTTTAAAGAAATTAAAACAAAAGTATTCCCAGGTTTTAATAGTAAAGTTGAAATCATATGCAAAAATTTTGATAATTATACGAATACTATACAAACTAATAGTGACACGAAAGTGTCTTACAATTCCAGTTGCATATATTTGTACTATTGGCTATATTATTTTAATAATAATAATAATGAAAGGAATATTGAACGTGTTAAAATTATTTATGATGAATTGATCAAAGCTGATAGTACAGCTCATCAGACCATATGTCCACAAAGTGATTATAGTACTATTACAGATAATGATATGTTAAAGATCAAAGATCTTCATGTTATGTACACTTATCTAAATAATAATAGTTCTCATAGCCCTGATAAATGCAGTGGTGGTAACGAATGCGCTGAACTATATATGAAATACAAAGTTCTATGTGAATCCAATAGTTACTCTAATTTTTGTAATGAATTAAAAAATGTTAGGGAAAAATATAATGAACTAAGTACAACTAAATGTTCTGTACACTTGACATATAAAATGTTACCTTTGTTCCAAAAATATAATATAGGAGTTCCTATTGTAATTACAATTCTTGTGATATTATTAATATCAATAACTTTATTTATTCTCAATAATGTAATTATTATATTATGTATACATATTTGTTGTATAAAATAAATTTGTTATATAATTATAAAAAAAATTTTAATATAATATTTTTTTAAAATATAATTTTTTTTTTATTAACTAGTTTACCCATATAATACATGCTTTAAAGGAAGATTAACAGAAAAACGAAATAAATGGAACAATAAAGATGTAGATTATAATATATTCCAATCGTACAAAAATATCAGCAGTGCTATTATGAAGAGTAGACACCATATTTTATATAATAAATTCTAAATATTTCATTATATGCATTAAATATTGGAATTATATGATTAAAACCAAATAAATAGTGTTAAACAATTCATATACGAAAATTTTCTTATAATGTATTCATATAAACGTAAAGAAGTAATTATATTAAAAGGTTTATATTAATTATACTATATAGAAATTAAAATATTCAGAATAATATTCTATTAATATCTAATGAATATCTCTTTCTTCAATAAACTATGGATAAAAAAAAAATGAGTAAATGTCTTCCAAATCCCCTTCTAATATACAGTAAATAGTGTGCATAATTAGGATATAAGATATAAAACACTAAAATATAGATAAAACGATGTTAGAAAATATATATTTATATATTACTGCAGACGAAATTTCTAAACTAGTATTATAATGCAATATAGAATATGTGGTTAATTTCTATAATCTTATATTATGCATTAACATGATATAGAATTATAGAAATGTTTAATATATTTATTAAGTGTGCATATTTATGATTTATTTTGCCTAGGTTTTTTTAATAATTCTTAGTATATATTTTAAAAATAAGAATTTTTTGCGTTTATATATTTTATTTACTAATTAAGGGACGCTTACTACATTTATGCTTATTAGTACCATAAATGAAATATTACAAAATATAACATGTTGGTTATATTGTGTAGTCTTGTATGATACATTTTTTTGTGCCTTATTTCATGTGAATCTTTATTATAATTTGTATACTTCTATAAATTGCTCATTTCAAGTATCAGCTCTGTAAAAATGATTAAAATAACGAAAATATTTTATTTTTCTTAACGAAGGCAAAAATATTATATAAATAAAATATTAAAAGCCACTGTAAATTATTTGAATCATATAATTTTTTTTGCACATACAAAATTTTATATTTATTATTTATTTTTAAATATTTTTTTAATATCAAATACTAATACACTAATGAATTATATAAATTCTTAAAAGTGATAGCTCTTCCACTGTTATTGATAATTAAATTATATTATATATAATTTTTTCTTTAAAACCATGCTTTAACATCACATAAATATGTGAACAGAGATTACTATTTTTACTTAATACATTATTTTCTCCATATCATTATAAATTTTTTTTAGTATTTTCTTATATTGTCACATTAAAATCCATGATTTTCTTGCAATCTCTATATACATATATATTTTGAAATTATAGCTTGTATCAAATTCTCCTTAAAAAAAGTATTTTATATAAGAATTATATATATAATTCTGACAAAACTTTTTGTATTATTTTATATAAAAGATATATTATGAATAAAAATTTATAATATTAAAGTGGATAAAAACATAATATTCTCAATATATAATATATATTCTCATTATAATGAAAGTATAAATTATAATTAATAATTACCAGAATATATTGGCATATTAAAGAATATTATTTTTCGATGTATTATAAAAATAATATAATGCTTTATTTTCCATATTCCTTAATTATCCATAACAAATGAATTCAAAATTATACATGTTATTAAATGCAAATAAATTATAATTATACACAAATATTCATATAAAGGAAAAATTTTAATAATAATATAACGTTCATACATGCTTTTAATTATACAAAATATTCATGACAACATTTAAGTGTTAATATAATATTCTACGACAAGGTTTTTCCACTGAACAAACAATATATACTTGTTAAATTATTTTTTAAGTTTATTCACAATATAAACAAAAATACATGTATTATAAATAAAGGAATTTTTCATTTCTTATAAAAATATAATTTATGTATTTTTTAAATAATTAAAGAAAATATCTCGAAAATATTATTATGTCGAAACTTTTTATTATAAATCAGTGATATTTTATAATGAATTCTAAGTATCTAGCTGAAAAAAAAATATTTCACATATATTTATAAATAAATCATCATCATATGTAAATACAAAATCATAAATATTTATATTATTCCATAAACACAATAATATATATATTAATAATTTTTATTATATCCTTGAAAATTAGTATGTAAAACAGTCAATTTTGTAAAAATTTTGCAAAATTTTTAGTATCACAATAACTATAAATCAATAACATTTAATATATGTTTAATTTATTTCGTATGAATCTTATTAATATGTATAAAATGTTCATAATATATTAGTAAGTTTGGTCCATATGTTTTAAAAAATGTGTTAGAAAAGAAAAATAAAAAAATAATATGTATTAAAGAACTATTAAATTTAATGAACGAATAAATAATCGTAATATGTTATTTAATGATGTATACATATAAATAAATTTATATAATGTTAATATGTACCACTCATAAAATCTTGTTATATGAGAAAATTCTTTTTATAAACTTTTACATATTACATAGATTATAGCACTCAACATTACTTACATTAAACACTGATGATACAACGTGCATGCCTAAATTATATAAATGTAAAGAATATAATATATATAAAACGAAAAAATTATACTTTTATTTTATAAAAGTCTTAGAATAACAAAACATTTGAATTCTTATATTATCTATATTAAAAAGCTCTATATATTTTTATATATATTATAATATTAATAAATATATGTATATTAACAATAATATAACTATATCTAGAACAAATAATGATAGATGTATATTTAAGTCATAAGAGGCATAAATATGACTTAAAAAATTAACTCTATCTCGGATCCTAAAAATATTTATAAAACAATATATTTATGCTTAATATATGCTTCTTATAAAATTATTTATATATTCAAATATATAAATTGAACTAAACCTTATAATATTTTTATTTGTTGTAATATAAAAATATATTCTTGCATGTTATATATTGAAATTATATTTCATTCATACAATTTAGGGAATTTTGTTATAATAAACTGTTCTTATACTCCATGTAAGTTTATAGCAATTAATTAAACTTATGAATAAATTTTGTTTAACATAATATCTTACAATTTATACATTATTATATATATATTAGTATGATATTTATGTTAAAGCAAAAAATACATAAAAGTATATATTAAAATTAATATCATATATATGTGATAATTGTAATTTTCCCTTATTATAGCACTAGTTATATTTTGTAACTTCATAAAAAATACAGATTTTATATAATATAAAAATAAGAGAATTTATATATATTTTTCTAAGCAATAT